CACCACGAAACTACTTGGGTCCTTTTTCGTCTTTCGATTCTCGGATGTTGTTATTGAGTTAAAGCTGGAATGGCTTCTGTTCGCATAACTACATCTTTTGTTAATGCAAGCAGCTCATTTAGTTTGAGGTTTCCTGCCAAGTCATCACCAACCTAATGGTGTCCCAAGACAGTCTTCCTCCTACTTGCCAGTGCTGGGTATTGGCACAATATATGCACCGCTGTTTCCTTTTCTTCTAGACATAGTCTGCAAGTGTCTACCTCACCAAGAGTTATCTTTTTGAGGTGATACTTGAAGTGCCATGTAATTAGTGAGGTCAGCCAGCTTTGAGTGCTCCGCGAATAGCTAAGCACTTTTATCGCTTCCCTGGGCCACGGTTTCGGCAACATGAGTTTGGTCTGTCTACAAATGCTCAACTCTCTCCATCTATTAAGATGAAGTGAGGTTATCCACTTATAGACATAGGCTGCCGTCATGTTGTAACCTAGCCGTCATGGAACACCTAGATGAGACATTTTTACTATGAGGCCATCATGCCAGACCTTATCAAAAACTTTAGAAATATTAAAAATGATCATTCTAGTCGACTCTTTTCTACTAGGAGCTGTTTAGATCATTTGGGTCGTTCTTTCAACAGTTGAAGCTCCGTGAACAGGTTATTCCTTAACCCTACAAATTTATCGACCTTAATGTAATTATGTTATATCAATTTTATATTTTTTTAGCATTTTCTGAATTTTTTTTAAAACTTTAATCTAACAAAATGTTTGTAAATTCTTAACATGGAATGTCTTCTGTCGCAATCCTTCATTTCAGTCCTTATCCGAAACAAAAATACTGTTCTTATTAGCAAAATACTGTTATTAAATAGTCTGTCGATCTGGTTCCCCAACCCAGTTTTGATAAACTACTATCCGTGCAGTGTTTGCTGTCATCAATTGGTTTGAGTTTAGTTATCCACAAAGAGAAACTGAAGTTAGGAATTGGGTACTAGTGAAAATTTCATGTATAAAGTATCCAATTGATCATCTGAAAAAATTGTTATTCATTTATAAAAATTATCTTGACTATACCAAGTAAGACTACATAAAAATTGTACACCTGCGGTGATAATTACGCTGGAATCACGTAAGTCCGTGGTAATTATTTATGTTCTATGGAGCAATTCTATACATATTAGAAAATCACATATTAACTATAGAGTATTACTCTTAATAATTAGTGTTCATTAAATACTATAAACTATTCATTTATTCTCTTCTTGAAATATCGGAAACTTATTGCCTCTTGAATTTATTTTATTTCATTTTTTGAAACATCTCTCATAATCTTCTTATGAACATAATGGAGATGTAAATACTAGGTTAAATCTATAATCATAATTACATAATTTTTAGCTTCCTTTGAAAATTTTATTAGAGATTGATTTGCCCATTCCTGAGCGTAGATACTTTATTCGTACCATGAAGAAGACAAAAAATATGATTTAAAGTTTTTGAAACCACCGACTACCGCCAACCACCGCCATGTACTATATTAACATATAAATACATACAGCCAGAAAATTCAGTGCAAGCAGAATACATTTTCTTTGAAAGCAGAGTTCAACTTACACATCGTACCAAGGAAATTTTGGCATTTTGGCTAAATGCCAAAATTTGAGTTCAGCTTTCCTAAAAGGAAAAAAATAAAAAAAATTAAGAATAAAATTGCCAACATCAGCATATGCAATGGAAAAAGTGGAAAAAGCCTACATGCAACATCCACATATTTGGATACAGAGCGAAGTGACAGAGCCCAAACCAAAACATGCTTGCAAATCACCACAATTAGGATAAGCGCCACTAACGTGCTTATAAGCGCAAGGAGTGGCTACGAAAACTGTTAAAAAAATGTGGCAAACTTTTAAGGAGCAAAGGACGACAGCGGCAAAAAATGGCGGAAAAAATGCACTCAAAAAATTTTAATAGTAAAATTAACAAAAATAAAAGCAAAATAAAAACTGATGTCCTTTTAGGCTCTTCATTTCTAATTTACACTAACTCCTTGCGGTGCTACAAAACCGAGGTCCTGTCGGACATATTAACTAAATGGGACTTTTGCACGCTTGCATATGCTTCACTACACTATTCGCTGCGAGTCCGATTCCTTTCCTTGCTCCTCGTGCTTATTTCTCGAATTATTTTTTCAGTTTTTGTTTTGCATTGCAGTTTTGAATTATTTATCGCTTGTGGACGTTTCGCATTAAAATGCCTAAATATTGCAAAAGGATATGGCAACAAAGCAAACTAAAAAGTGTAAAATGTATGTAAGGACAACGTCAAGTGCAGCAAAAAGGACAACTACGACGACAACGGCAGCGGCAGCGGCAAGGATAGCGGCAAGAATAGCGGCGGAGGCAGTGATGATGAAGACAACGTCGGCTTATGGCTGATATTTTCGTAATTTGTTATGCAAAATATGTCAGAGCGAAATTGAGCCATTCTGCCTTAACATTGTTTCGACTGTAGTCAATGAATAAGACCAGCGAACAGGCATTGAAATAAACTATAAAGTTGTGATATCCTTGCACATAAAATGAGAGAATCACTTAATTTGGAACAAAATAAAGTCCTTTGAATCTGCTCCATATAAATTTTATTTGTTGTAGAAAATTATTAGGAAACTACATAAGCAAATGTTTGTATAATATATCCAATAATGTAACACATTAATAAGAAACTAAGTTAAATACAATTAAGGATTTTCTGTTTTGTCCTTAGGACTTATGACTACCCGCATTTATAAAACCTTATACAATATTCTAACTTAGTATAACATTTTATAAGTTTTCAGCTACATGGACCTACTTGAAATACTTACTAGTTTGCTCATTGGACACACAAATATATTTGGATAACTCGCTGTTCATAGCCTATATGCGTCTTGAATCGTTCACTAAAATTTATTAGTTATTTTTAAATTATTCTATGGCTAAAACTTCAAGTTAGAACAGTACAAGTCAAACATGTCTTTAGTTCTGTTGGCTAATCAACACTTACTCTGTGGTTCAGATTTAGGGGGCCACAAGTTGAACCCTTAGTACTTGCAATGTCAAAACATTTTATACGAATAATTAAATATAAGAAATAATTTCAAATAAGCAATTGATTAAAAATAATAAAAAAAATGTTTGTTGTTGCAATTCCATAACTGTTCGATAGAAACCGCTCTATTGAAAAAAATAGTTTATATTAAGAACTCAGTAATTGGGCAATTGTTAAACAAAAACTTTTTTGCAGAAAATTTAGTTTTTAAAAAGTTTTTAATTTAAACCAATATTTCGACAGAGTACTGAACCCTGTACCCTGAAGATGACTATATAATGTAGTTGAAATATTGGCTTAAATAAAAAATTTTTTAAAAACTAAATTTGTTTATAATAATATACAATTTAACCATTGACCAATTAGACCGTTTCGAAAACAAAATTATTATTAAACATTTTGGTCATTAAAAGAAGAAACTATTAAGAATTTCGTTTCTTTCTTCAAAACGAACGTTAGAAATCAGTTTAAAGTGTAGACAATGAAGTCTCTGTTTCTCATCGATGTGCAATATTCAAGCACTATTATTTCCGCATGAAATCTAAAAGTATAAAATGAACTGTGTTCAAATTTAGATTGTGACTTATAATTTATTTTAATATTGATTTGTTAATTAATATGCAAACTTCATTTCCAATATATTGTTGTAATAATTATTAGTATGCAACCCAAGAGAACTGCAATAATGCCCGCAGTTTTACGAAATTTTATCAAAATTGCAAATTAGGACTTGAGGCACGAACCCATATGACTTATTTAGCACTGATCCGAAACTAATAAAATTTTATAAATGAAATAGACAAACTGTAATCACATAGTTCTCTGATGGACTTTTATTTGGGACATGCAAAAAATATGTTGGAATGATCCAAAATAATATTTTTGAATATGAATCAAATAAAAATTTACTAAAAAGCACAAAAAAAACAAAATGTCTTTATAAAAGGTACAAAATTATAATTTTATTATTAAGTAACTTATAAAGTAATAATATTTGAGATTTACTGATATATCAAATATCCAACAAATCGGTGCAAATGGAATAACAACATAATAAATTAATAGCGCACCCAAGCCTTCTATTTTAATTTTAATATCTCCTTTTGTTCAAAATACATCGAATTTTGATCGGATACTGTCACTGTGTGATGTGATGAGATATAACAGTATAATATTTCAAACGTAGATAACTAATAATCACACATAAATAATGTAAAGATTAGTTCTGAAATTTAGCGAATAACAATAAAAAAAAATTAAAAATAATATAAAAAAAGAATTATAATTACTTAATTCAATTATTCTATAGCTGGTTTATGATTACATTATAATATAATAAGGCACATGAATTTGTTAATAAACTTTCACAGCAAACTAACAAACCTCCAAGTTCGGATATACACGACAAGTACGGCTTTGGGTCAGCTGGCTAATGAAAACTTACTTTGAACTTCAAATTTGGCAGGGCACGAGTTAAATTCTTAAATATTTCAATATCTATTAAATATTTAATAGATCTATCAATGATTAAATATCTATTCGATCAATGATTAAAGAGGAAAAAATCGACCCGAATTATTCTTAAGAAACGCACCCGTCTTAATCTGCATTGTCAGCCAAGACGTTTCTAGTCAAGTACACCATGTCAGTGTTATTCTATCTGCCTTATTTACTGCCGTAGTTCAGGTCAAATCTGCATTAATAGAAAAAAATTTCTGTCTATTGAAACTATGAAAGAAAGAGTTACACGCATTGTAGCCCCTCCTATATATACCTATTAAGATAATGTCCTTTAATGTGTTTTCATTTCAATAGCATTATACGATAATCATCTTCACAAACTTAACTGACTTTTGTTTTAAAATAAATTAAATGATATTAATAATACTTCATTTTTTATTGTTTTTAAATTAATGTAAGATAATACACATTTTATTCTTATCAGTTTTTTATCTTCGATCTATCATAAGTTACATGTTTGTTTTTCATCTTTATATAACCATTATTTTAAGAACTTAATAAAATTCTAAAATTGGAAAATAATTTCAAGTCTTAAGTGTTTTTAGTGTTTGATATTTTGGTTACTTATTAATTGAGCCAGTGGTAGTGGGTGCAGACGTATATCAATCTGTGGGTCCGTTTGATACTCAACTGATTCAGAGCATGGTAAGCAACCACAATAAGAGGGAATTTCAAGCTAAAATGCACAAAAAGAAATTTAATAACTATTGGTAAGTGTTTATAAAATAAATTAAAACTACTAACATCCTTTGGAATTTTAAAACCATCCTCACAGACCAACGGTACTTCGATGGTTTTATACGATTTGATGCTGCAACAATTACATATCTTATCATGAGTAAACGTATCTGTGAAATATAAATTTTAATTTAAAAATGAAATATTGCAACAAAATTTTACTATTCTCTTACTCTTATTATATTTCGCACCAGAGAAGCATGTGCCTACGCATTCAGTAAAGCCTTTAATGGGTTCAGTATTAACACAGAATCCATGGTTAGCTATGCGGATCTTTATTAGATTCCTTGTTTCGGTATCAGCTAAAGAAATTGCTAAACAGTCTTCTGTTAAAAAGAAAAAAATATTTTATTTCAGATTTCAGAAAAGATGATTTACTAGTTTACTTTGATTTTCTACAACGGGTTCTTCTTTGCAATACTTGCAGCAGCCTTCATCGATTAGTAAATGACTTGGACACTTACTTACATCTGGACAAGTTTCTTTAAATGAATTTACAATAAGCATATCTTCCTTTTGAATGCATTTGTAAGAAGTGCAATTATCGGCGCTCTTCCATTCCTCTTCAGGCTTGTGTAGTTTAGATTCAAACAAACATTCCGTTTGAATGCATTCTCCACAACATTTGGAGGAATCCATTTTCTTGTATGTGAAGCCAAGTGGGCAGCTTGTGTTACAAGTTTCTTCAGTTGACAGTATCTGAGTTGAACCATTTGGTCCATAAGTACAACGTTCGTGCAGGCAAGCGTTGTGTGGATGGATCCATTTTTCATTCACATTTTTAGTAAACTTAGAATCCTCAGGTGAGTCATATTGTACAATGCAAATATCTTTTGGTGGAGCTAAAAAAATATTTTAATGATAAAAATTTATTTTAAAGTTAAAAAATATATTAAACTCACCGCATTTGTAGACAGGACAACATAATTCTGGTTTCTCTAATTTAGTAACTTCAAAGAATTTCTCAGTACAGGTCTGTGGCGCTTCTGGACAAGTTGTTTTATCGCAAACAATTTTTTGTGTAGGACAGCATCCTAATTCTTCTTGAACTACTTTTTGACCAGGTTGAAGTTCTTTTGGTGGAACCAACTTATCACATTCCTCTTTCGGCTTACATTCTACAGATACAATTTCAATGTATTAGTAACAATTTTATTAACTCATAACATTAAAATTATCTTACCACATATGTATTGTGGGCAACCATCAGGACCAGTCTTCTGTTTCTTAAATTGTCCAGGACCGCAAATAGGCATTATAGGTGCTAAGCATAGCTTAGATGGTGGTACTTTTGGCTCCGGTACGCAAGCATATCGTGGACAACACTGTTCATCTACTACTATTTTTTGTGGTTTATAACCTTCTGCACAAATATTTTCCTCTACTAAACATTTTTGTTCCACACAAAGAGTTTTGCCACTCTTGTCACAACTACAATCCGTGCATTTATCTTTTTGCCATTTATCACCTGGCATATGTATTAAATCATCACATTTCACACACATTTTCTGTTCAATACATTTTCCTTTATCTAAAACCTTTCCTGGTGGACAGAAACAACCTTCAAAGCGTCCTTGAGTTGCACATACATCCTCCATGGTCACTGTCTCTATCACTTCATTCGTATTTATATTAACTGCATCAAATTCAGACAATTTTTTAACAGTGTCACATGTCTTGGCACAGCCACAAGGTTCATAGAGCATGTCAGCTGGACATTCGTATGGGCAGAAATCTGGTCGTCGCCAATTCACACAAACCTTGTGTTTAGCACACTCCTTGGCATATGCACTTAGCATATCACAGGCACCCTTTTGATTATTACCTGGCTTACACATATCCTGCTGGCAGGTTGATACATATACTAATGGATCAACGATCATACTGCATTTACCAAAAATGTCCTCATTGAGCAAGAGCATACAAGGATCTTTTTCCGGTGGTAGTGGTATACAATCTTGTTTAGGTACATCTTCACTCAAACATTCATTATTTTCGAGACCCAATTTTGGTTCATCAGCTTGCCAGCTTTTTATAACATCAACCAAGTCTTTACTTGGTTTACCCTTCTTCTTCTTTGCTGGGTTTTGTTGTAGATCATTATCAGGATTACCGTTACAATCACCACACAAACCTTCCATTTTGCCGCCATACTTAACACTTGGTACACCAATCTATTCAGATTTCATTTGAAGATATTTAGTTTATTATTTTAATAAAAATATAATGTAATGAGTTTATTTATAATTTATTTATATATTTATTAGCTTACAGAGAAAACTAAATCTTCCATAGCAGCTGTCAATTCAGTATGAGATTCTGGTAATGTCAGTACCAATTCTTTTCCATTAACTTCGCGTAAATTAATCCAACTGTCTTTGTATGGTAGTTTTTTTATTTCGAAACCATCAATAAAGACCTGGAGTACTAGTGGCTTATTTGGCACTCGTTGAATGTGTATGACGTGATCTCCATTGAGCACATGCAAGGATTTTGCACAACTTGTGTGCTCCGGCAACGAAGTTATTCCCACTTTTTTACATTCATCCATAGTCACATAAACCTAATCCAGAAAAATATATTTTTTAAGAAAATATTAAAGAAATGCTTTTGTTTTATATAGGGACTATAAAGAAATTATGAACGAAATTAGTAATTGACAATTATTATATAAAAAACATTTTAAAAGTCTAATAAACCAAGAAAAAAGGCTTCATTAATATTATTTAATAACTTCTCTTAAACGGAATTCCTATCAAAAACCTCTTATATCTTTTAACGTTATCAATTTTAATAGTTGTTCCCAACTACTATTAGATAGCAAAAGATATATATCATAACAAAATATTTAATTTACTTTCATTTCTTTCAACTAAAATGGAAAACTCTATATCGAAACTCCTATATAAGTAATTTAATTTAAATTTATTGGATTATATAGTGAAGCTTAAATTGTGAAATATATATACATATTTTATATCTGAAATTTTCAGGAAATCCAATGTATATAGACTTTACATATAAACTCAATTATTTTTAGTTGCAAAATAAATTTTTAAGTTTAAATTAAATTAAACATAAATTAATTTGTTTTTTGTTATGTTAAAGTCCTTAAGAGAATTGATATACTGCCCACTTACCTGAAACGTGTGCACTCCTGGTAGCACAATATCTCTTGACAACAGATACGTGCAGTTGCCATTGAATGTGAAACTCTTCCGATCGTAGGTGAAATATTTCGAAGTGCCGAATGAATTGCATATGCAATCTTTACACTCAACAATGGGTACACAGTCCTTACCCTTACGCACAGTACCTTCAGGACAGTAGCAACCAGCAAAACAGGCATCTGGCAAAACCGGACACTCATCATTGCCCAATGAGGAACAAGAAGGCTCACATCGACGTTTATAGCAATCTGTATGCACCAACGGAGCAGGACATGAAGTTTCTGTAAGGGAAAAAATTAAAGCAAGTTGCACATATTTCGGTAGACAATTGTGGACAGGATTGTTCGTGTATATAGATTACATACCACACTGATGCACTGCACGCCATGTACTCAACTGCACATTCGGATTAACAGTTAAGCATTTTTTGACAAAGTCTTGCAAAATTTTGCATTTGCAGGCACTTGCATCACCTTCAGTCTTGAGGCACTCACAAGTGGTCTCCATGCACTTGCTAACGAACTGCTTCGAATTGACCGATTTACCACATTTTACGAATGTCGGATGTCTATAAATACGCATTTATTTAGCAAAAATAATTTACAAGCTTTATCTAGGATAACAACAAAAACAGCAGAATGCACTTGGCAAATGCGTAGATTCTATTCTGCATTTAAGCATACAATGGTTGGACTTACTTAATAGTATTGCACAAGGCCAATGCTTTCCTTTGCAAATCCATTGGACAAACTTGTGGATAGCATTCCTCCTTTGATATTTGTTTGTCAAACCAACTGTCACCAAACTTAACTGATGTGGGCATAATAGTGCCGTCCGGTGCACGCTTGTCGTCACTAGAAATTCCATTATAATAGCCACATAAGCCATCAACTGTTTTGATGTACTTCGATGATACACCAATTTCAATGTAGCCAATATCATCATACCGCACCCAAAAGCCATGTTTACGTGATACCACTAATACAGTATTGCCCAGCTGTGAAATATCAAAGGACGCTTTGCATATTGGTGAACTAATCAGTTGTTGTACACTATATTCAAAGCCATTGAAATTAAGTTTCATGTTTGGCAAAATCGTCAATATTGCAGGCGCCGTCGCATCCTTTATCGTTACCATTTTGCGACATACCTTACGTGTCTTATCGGTACAATGCAGTTGTACTGGAATAGTAGAAAGATTATAACTTTTTATATGAACACTGGTTTTGGTATAACACTTACCCGATATAACCCAACTTGAATTGACTAGATCGCGTGCCAAAATATGACTACATGTATCGTATTTAAATTCGGTACCATCAAAGGTGGTGAATGATTTGCCACTTATTTGACAAGTATCATCTTTTCTCGGCCTTAAAACACATAAATATTTTTGACAGTCTCCGGGCTTAGCATTGGACATATCTAATTCAATATCATAGTTATTTGGACATTTTGGTTCCATGCACGTCACTGATACATTTTTGTCAATAATTTGTATGGGTATACAAGTAAACTCGGCGCAGATTTCCTCCTTTACCATATCAACCGAATCACTAGGCATGGGCAAAAATTCTTGAGTTTTAGTAACTACACTAGTCTTTGTTATTTTGTTGCCGTCGTTAATCATAGTAAATTTCTTTGAATAACTAGATATATATGGAAAAAAATATTAATAAGGCAAAAAAAATTATATATAAATTAAAATGTTTTGTAATAATTAAGATCTATTGATGTAGTAATTAACATAGATATCAATTTTTCGGACCCATGTTGATCCCAATTTTAAAGTTTTAGACGTAGACTCGAAAAATGTAGATAGAGTTTAGTAGAATATTGTATATGTTAAAAACGTAAGCCAACCATACAAGACCTTCATTACTATTTTTATAGGGTGCTTTGCATTAAATCAAGAACCGAAAAGAAATGTTTGGAGAAAAAAATGGGGCATCTCAAAGCACCTTTAATTAAAAATTATTTAATAACTCAAAATCTACTTATTTAAATGGCTTAATTATTATACCAATTATTAGTTAATGAAAGATTCTTCAATTTGAAATGAATTCAGAAAATTATAATGATCCAAAATTGTTCTCTTTCAAAAAATTTTATATATATCTCTATGTGTCAGCACTTTATTATCTTACATAGTTTTCTGTAATCGTTATTTACAGTGTACTGCTTTTTGCAATCATGTTATCCATTGTTCTCCATGTTATCCAATCATGATATCCATTTGTAAAAAATAACAAATTTTTAAGAATTGAGTAAAAATGAGTTAATGAAGAGTTTTTAGGAAGATAATGCGAAGAAGCTATTTAATGTAATAAAGACTTTTTTAAAAAGTGTGGACAGATTTTATCCTCAATTTGAACACCTTAGTGATGTCGTTATCTCTTTATCTCTGATAACATATTATAATGACGAAATCTTATTTAACATGTGGCAACATCATTAAAAACCAAATCGTTCTTAGGCTCCTAGCGACGAAATATTAGTTCTTTTCTAAGGAATGTGTTAAGTCTCAGTTTCAACAAAAATATTTAAAAAATATCACAACGATAGGAATTAACTTTAAAATCTGTTTAATGAATATTTTTAATGAAAATATGTTGCTTAAGATTATAAATAATTTTAGTAGACTGTGAAATCTGAAGTTAACTTACGTGGAAGTAAACATTTCTGACATCTTCCTTGCCTTTTTCTCAGTTATCTTGATTTGCATTTGTGGTGGACAAACTGGCTCTGGGCATGTAATAACTACAGCTGTTGAAGACATATATATCAAATACATAATTTTTTTTAAAGATTAATAAGCATAAACCTACTTTCGTTTTTCTGCGTTCCATCTGTGGGTGGAATCTTTTTAGTGCAAGTATCATCTTCATCATCAGCACAATCCTGAACACCATTACACCATAACAGTTCTGGTATACAATCTCCACTTGATGGACATAACTTTTGATATTTAGGACAGGGTTCACATTTACAGAAACAACCAGTACCCATAATTGGTCTTAGATTTTTCTCACAAGGTGGGCATTTCTTAGATTTGCAGTTTGCGTGTCCACCTAATAAGCAAACACATTCCTCACACACCTTATTTTCGAATTTAGAACCGATTGGATAGCTTCATTTAAAATAAAAATGCATTAATTTTTGTATTTCACAAATAGGAGCACATTCTTACGTTATATAGTTTTCTACACAAGGGCATAAATTTTGGTTTACACAAATGCTGCCATCCCAGAAAAGTCCATCCTTACATTTGCACTCTTCATCATTCCCTGTTGAATCAATAATTCCATCGCAGACCTGACATTTATTGTGAGGTCTGTCAAGAATCGTAGCTTTTTTTTCAAGTTCCACTGTAAATGAAATACACAGATGAAATCGGTAGAGCGTGCGACTAAGTTAACCATGTACTTTATAATACTTACAATATGGATGGAAGCAACCTAATGGTTCTATACGTAGATTGATATTTTTCTCCCATTTCGCTGGCACAACTTTTAAATATTGTGTCAAGATTGGCGTTTTGAAAAAATTAGTTTTTTCCGAATCTGAGTCATGATTGCCAGGGAATATTCTAGCTGTGCCATCAACTGCAAGTACCTTATTCCAGATTTTCTTATTCTTAGAGAAAAGAACCTTAAATCCGCTAACCCAACCATCTGAACCTCCTTTTGTAATAAAACCAGATATATTGCGTGGCTCTAGGAAATCGAACTGTAGAAGAAAGTTACAATTAAAATAATATAAAAATAAAGCAATGCATTAACTACTAATTCATTTTTGAAATACTAACCTCAACATATTCATTTGGTGTGTTAGCCACCGGCTTCCAGCTAACCGGAGAAGATAGCTTAAGCAAGTCAATTAGTTTCGGTTTCTTAGCGTTATTCGGTAATTGCAAGAATTGCAAAGTACTGCTTGCCTTTACTTGATTTGGACTCATTTGTCCATTTTCAAGGCCCATTTTATCTATACATTCTGTGTATTTTTCAAATTCTACCGGCGGTGTAGTTGTTGCCTCGACATAGCTTAATGTAGTTGATTCGATTTTTAAAGTGGTTTCAAGATGGGTGCGACAGCCCAGAAGTTCTATACGCATTGCTATCGAACCATGCCATTTTAGTGGATAAATGTGTACTGATTTTGCTTCCACTGGAATTTTGAATAGAGTTTGCACTGGTTCACGTGAATCCAACGGTCCATTGAACATTTGTGGTTTATCGTTCTCATCTGATAAATAATGGTACACCTCACCATCATAACTATAAAGTATCTAAAATAAGAAACAAATATATTATTTGGAAATGATATACTAATCTCAAGTAAAAACCTTAAATAATGTCACGTAATTATCAAAATCAGGACTTCCAGCCATTATTACACCGAAAATCGGTTCCGGTTCCTCGAAAGTTACTTGTAAGTATTGCATTTGGTCATTGATATTAGGTGACCAACTACCAGTTTTTTCCTGGGGATTCTTATACAGACGCGCTTTGTATGGAGCATAATTGGGACCTAATGATGAGCTGGCATTAAAGACGGTATCTGGCAATGGTTCATCTGCTTGAATCATAACCTTCAATCTAAACTGGAATCAATTAATCTGAATAATGTTTATTAAAATAAAATCACGTACCTATCAGGCGCACAGTGTAATGGTGGTGTCACAGTATTAGGAACAGTAACATACTCAATTTCCGGATAGACAGTGTTGTTTTTAGTGAGTGCTATAAATAATGGAGTGCTTAGTTTAAACAAATATACGCAATAATGAAGTACTCACGAGTTTTGGTTGTCTGCTCAATTTTATTTGGCACGCAAGTGTAAGCATTATCGATGCATTGACACACTTCCCATTCACCGATCACGGGCATGTGCGGTTTTACGTAGTCTTCATTCTTATCCATGCATGGACATTCATCAGCATTAACGCACGTGTTTTCATCTCGCCAATATTTCCGTTCTCCACGACAGTTTGGACGATTTTTATCAACGCAACCAGGCTTGCAATGTTCACCCTTTTTGCACAAGCCACGTTTTGTGAGAATCTATGTATTAAGAAAAAATAATATTTATATTTTGTGGAAGGCAACAAAGATTTTGACTATACCATGCCGTAGTGGTGACATGTGTGCTCACATTGGTTAGCACAATCTGACATTTCCGTGCCATCTGGGCATTTCTGTTCTTTAAGTGATTCAGGAGTAGGTTCGCCACAAGTTGGTTTTATACCTTGCACTGTAGCGATATGATCACAAATATTCATCGTTGGATTGAACATCATAAACTCTCCACAAGTCTTCTCCACATAGGCCCATTTGCCTTCTACGCTTGAAGGTTGACAGTGCAAAAATTTATGACAATCACCCGGAAATTCTTTATATTCAGCTATAAGAGTGTCGCAAACTTTACCAATAAGAGGCTTTTCAGTTGGAGCGACGGTTGTTGTCTCTGCTTCCTCACATTCGCAAAAAACTCGGATTTCATAATCGTGACACTGACCAACACAAGCCAAGCCCTCACGTAAATTGCAAAATACGTTCTCGTCCATGTAATCGGATGACTCATGCGTATTAACTACACGACACTCAATTTTCTTCATATACTTTTTCTCACAGCTGCTATATATTTTCTCCAATCTATCATAGCGCGGTAATTTTTCCTCATCATTTAGACGCGTAGTTTTATTCGAACTATCGGCATCTTTATCGTACCAACGAGTCCAACCCCGTACACATTTTGTCTGATTTTCAGTGCATATAGGTTTTTCAGTAGTTCCGTCAATTATAGGCAGGTTAGTTGTAAGTTCCTTCTCGCATTTTACACCACTACACACTTCCTTCTTTTTGGAGCAACGACAAGTGGCACAGGCGTCTTGATATGTTACATCCCCTTCGTAATAAGTTATTTCATCTTTAACCATGCAAACGGGTTTGCATTCAGATTTTGGTACGCATTCCTTGTAGGTGTCGTTCAAATAGATCATACCTTCCTCGCATGGTTTAATGTAGCATCCCTCAATGCAGTTCTCTTTATTGCACATACGTTCAGCAATTCCTTGATCGAGGAAATTGTCACATGTCTCCAATGCACAGGAAGGCGTACAGGATTTATATTCCGCACAGTGAGGATCGCACTGCATTGCTGTAAGAAAAGTTCTTTTTTTGAAGCAATTATTTTATACTAAGATTGAGATAAAATATGAAAGGATTTTTATGAAATATTTTATAAGTAGTACGTCTCCAGATAAGAAGTAATAAAATATTTTTAATTAAAAAAAAAAAGTTTTAACATATATTATGAATTATATTATAGCACGATCGATATTATATCCAAAAAGTTGAGGATATATATATTATAATCCGAAATATAATATAGTTATTTAAACAGTGATTTCAGAAGGTACATATAGAAAGTTTGGTGCTTTCCATATTGATTGATTGTTGATAGTAAATTTGTCAATAAAAATAGATGATGAATTATACATCATAGAGCACTTTCATTGACACGGTTTCAGTCTATTAAAAGTAACATCAACTGAACAAAAAATGTTCTCAGGAATTTTTTTTTATTAATCTATACTAATATTAAGTTTATAAAACTAAAAACTAACACTTAAAGATATACCGCTGGATACTGCGGCCTTCGGCTATTGTTAGGAAGAATAATAGTACGTTAGTCCGTTAAATCAGTTCATGTTCAAAAATTATGAATAATGATAAAGGTTTGAATTTGACACTTATTAACAGTGGATCGAAAATGAAATCTTGAAATTAATTGCTATGTTGGCGAACAATAAATCCCAGTATTTAGTCTGATTATAATCACAAATTTTTGATGGGAATTCCAAACGAAAACAAAAGAAATAGATTTTATTAGGAAAATTGGTTTCAAAAATAGAAATATAATAACAACTTGGAATAGAATTAAGGCAATAATTTCATATGATTTATAATTAATACATCAAAGCGCAGGGGTATAATTAATATTGACTATCTGAAAAATAAAAAACATCTTAGCAAAGTTTTATATAAACTTATAGGAGCAATGCAATAATTAAATTTAGTAAAAATAATCACTTTTGTGGTAAAAACAGATGTTTCATCAAATCAATGCACCAATCCACATCAGTGGATATGCAAAAATCAATACATGTATTCTACAGACAATTTTTTTACGATTTTGTTTAAAACGATTAAATCTTTTAAGAAAGATTAGAGATTTAAGAATTTTTAGATTTCAGATTGGAAAGATTATATCAGGAGACACAAAAAATAAATAATTAATAAGGTGCACTTCAAACCTTTCTTTTTTATTACTTCCGCTTTATCTTGATTAGCTATTTAGTCGATTTTCAAACCAAAATGTTTCTATAAAATGTAATTTGCAATTAAAAAAATTCTAAATTACTTTTGCCTCTTGTAAGACCTAAAACCATTAAACGTCAATTTGGATAAACGCTAATTACCTTTAAAATATTTAACTTTCAACCACAAATCTAACAGAGAAATCGTCTTTAATTAAGTTTTCTTCAACTTCACTTCATGATTTATCAAATTTTAAGTGGTTGCACACAGTCATTTCATTTACATCTACAAATCCTCTTAGGATTATTGAAAATGCAGAAATTCGTTAGTTTAGGAAAGGGGAATAAGGGAATAAGTATCTGCAAGAAATGAGCGTAGACAGAGTTCCTAACCGAACTAAACGCAAATTAAAGTAAAAGCAAAAATATGCAAATGTCACCGCCCAATGTGATAATTTTCGCTAATAAATTATTGACAACATTGATTTGCTCTGGAAACGTGTCTCTTCCTGCCACTTCAGCATGTGGTGCAACATGTGCAGTGGAATTGCAATGCAATGAAATGAGCACTTACGGCAGAAGTGGGGTGTACGCCACCTTATGTTGATGCCCTTTTGTGAGCAGGAGTGTGCGTATGCAGCAATGGCTGTACACAGGCACTCGCAGTCACCTCCTTGATCACAGGCACAGCTATCGAATATGCAACGCTTCATGAATTTGTCAACTGGCACTTCAGCATGGCAATCCTGAAACGAAATTGTAACATTTTAACTTCAAGGATTATGCTGAATATGTGTGCTGCTGAGACACACTATGAGTATCTACCTTAAACATTGCTGACTTAAGTACACCACATTTCAGTTGAGCCCACGTTTCTCTTTCTGGGTGTTCTTTACATGCGTCAATTGGTTGCGTTGGTACGGCACAAAACTTTTGCACTTTCCATGCATGACCAAAAATAAGTGGACTCGTCTCTAAGCCCAGCGATGGAGTTTTCATATCATCCATTGCATTGTCGTTGTAATTGCCACAGAGTCCGTTAACTTTGTTCTTCCATTCGTTTCCTAGCTTAACATACACACGAGTGCCTTCGTCCCACTTAATTTGCAATTTTAGTGAAATCACTTCAACGACTACGAAAACGCCGGCTTTGTAAATATGGAAAGCACCCTGTGCTTTGGCATTTACTGCATCTCGTAGTTCTGCAAATATTATATTAAATTGTATTCACACAAAATTAATTAAATTTGTTTTTTTTGTAACTATTTTATTAAATTGATCTTCAACCTACTTTTTATGGCCGATTTATTGGGATTTTCCATGTACGTTGAGTCTGAAGTTAATGTTATGGTGTCTTCCACGCTACCACTTAAACTAATTTCAACGGACTTTGAGCACGTTACTCCCATTGTTCCACAAAGTACATTTTGTATTGTAATTGTGTATCCGTCACCATGATCGTTTACACCTTTAGAAAGTACATAGTCACAGGCTCCTTGAAAATCAAAGTCATGATTATCGAATGTAGTAAAATGCGAATCGCCCCACACACTACAGGTAGATTCGCACCCGTTCGACGAACACTTCCAGTTTCCAGACTGGCAGACACTGATCAGCAAATAAAAAACATATTTTTGAACTCAAGTGTAATTGTCAAATCACAGACAAATACTCACCATGTATTACAGTCCTCTCTTATTGTTTCTCCATCATTGTAACTCTTACCGCCATGGTGACAGGAACAATTTTCAGGTAAAACACAAACCTTTCGTGTCGTGTCATAAACATAACCTTGCATACATACACAACCAGGTGTACAATCTTCCAAATCTTCTTTATATTCATGCATGTTTTTGCAAGTTTCTGGTTCTTTTGGCACACAATTGGTGAACTTGGCAAATGGCTTATTGGCGCATTCTGCACGCAACTCCGATGACGGTGGGTATTTTTCTTGATCACCTGGCTCTGCATCTTCACATTCCCAAATTCCATTTTCACACGTGCTGAAATGATAAAAAAAAATTTTTTTTATATGAAAAAGAAATATACCTCCATTCGACACATACCACAAGTCTAGAAACTTTTCTCCAGGACGCACTTCCTTATAGCCAGGCTTAAAAACCATACCATCATATGTGCAAGGACATTTCTTTTGTGGCACGCACTCATTTTCATCATTTAAGTATTCACCATGTGGACAACGACAACCTTCAACACATTCCCTCTTACAGGTGTTTTTCGTAGCTAAGTCTTCGCATGTACGTGTGCAACTATCACCACACTCATCATACACTTGACCAACGGGACACTGAACAGCTAAACTCAATGAAATTTGTTAATAATTCTTGATATTCTTATTACTGATACTGTCTACATACCACACTCCTTGATTGTCATACGCCAACCAGTTCTAATACCCTGACGCATACATTCCGCACCATATGCGGACAAAATTGGACAGAAACATTTGTTTAATTCATCCTTACACGCGCAGACATCATACAAGCAATCTTCATAGTATTGCTCTGGCTCAACAGTCCAATGACACTCCTGGAATATATCTTCAGTAATCCAAGCGCAATATTTTTCTGCCTCGGCACGTTTCTCGGCATTAACAGTGCAAGGGTGTGGACCTGTTGTAGTATCAGTCAGAAAATCACATGTATCTTTCGTGCGCCACTTGTCAGCAAATGGCTCTACAGCAGTTTCGATATCACCTTCAGGTGTCAGAAAATCGTCTTGCGTGTTTGAATTGAACGTACCACACAGCCCCGCAGTACGCCCACGGTAACTTGGTGGTGCATCGATATAAGCACGTGAAACTCCATCCCACCACACGCGTAAGCCATCCGGGAAATCAATTGTTAAAAATGTGGAACTAGCATGACGTATAAGCACTTCATTAGCTCCTAAAATCTTTGGAAACTTTGTTATTTCTTTATTATTAACGAGTGTTAGAAAGCCTTGATTAATTTTAACGGTTGTAGCCACTCCATTATTAAGTACAAAATGCAGGGTCACAGATTTAGTACACGAAGGATTATCGCTAGTGACAGCTAAATTCAGGTTTTCAGATATAACGCCAGAACAAGCCACATTTTCAGCCTCGATAGATATATTTGGTGTTTTAAGCAAATAATAGCTGCATTTTCCCATAAAATCGAAGCGTTTGCCATCGAATGTTTGGTAATGTGGATCACCAATAGCACCACAGCGCGCACCGCACTTCTCATCTGAACATTTCCATTTACCATTTTTGCATGTGCTAAAATTAATAGTTTTATTAAAAAATGCTTTTTTATATTTGAAATAAACGACTTTACCAAGTATTGCAATCTCTTTTAATCACATCTTCTGGTTTAAATTCCTTGCCACGGATAACGCAGGGACACAGTTCAGGCGTAATACATGCATCCTTATACTGAACAGTACCTTCTGGACAGAAGCAACCTTCATTGCACTTGCCTTTCGTTGGTTCAAGAGCTGAGTCACATGTTGACTCAACGTCTGGACCGCAAGGTAAGTAGACACGCCCATAGTTGCAGCTAATCGCTAATATGAATAACATCCAATATAATTAATATTTAATAATACCTATGATATATAGACAATGAGGAAATTAACATAATAAAATTATTTTTATCAATTTCAATGCATTATAATAGATTTAGTATATCGATTGCGAAATCTTATTTATATATATATTTGCACATAATAATATATTTATATTATATATACTACATATATTATATATTTATTAAAATAAAGTAAATAATATTTTTTCTGTGTAAAATCATTTAATTTTAATTATATATAAACTAGCATCACACTTCACACTTACGGCATATCTCCAAATTACGCCAACCATGCTCCAACTTAACACCTTTGAAGACACACTCTTTTGCTAACATTGACATTGCGTCACAGTTGCACGTTTCGGGATGTTCACGGTTTGGACAATTGCAATAGTCATCTACACACGTTTTCAGTAGTGCTTCGAAATTGAACAGTTTGATACAATCGCCAAGTTTCTCATTCGCTAATAAGCGTTCACATATACTAATAGCTTTTTGATGTTTATCTGAAGCACATTTGGAAGAACCAAATTCGAGCTCTGCACTATTTTCCATAACACACAGATCAGACTTATCTTCCACACGCCAAGAATCTGCAAAGGCTTTGACTGTTTCCATTACTTTTCCATATTTTGACATTAAATCGTTCCTGTAATCGCCGTCCAATGAACCACAAAGACCACCAACCTTAGACCATAATATTGGACTAACATGTACAGCTATGTACTGATGGCGATCCCAATCGATTTTGACGCCAACAGATTCCAAGTGAATTTGAATGTGCTCGGCTACTGGTAATACCTTCATGCCCACTACCTGCACTGGTATTGGCAACACATTCGTACGAGTCGAAAGTTTCAATGTTCCATCTATTATACGAAAGCAGAATTATTGTAATATTGATTTCATAGTCGATTGTAAAAGACGTACTTATGCTTTCCAAAATATATTGTACAGACTGCCAATTGATTTTCAATGTATGGGCACATCCATAACCAGATCCATATGGGCATGCCTTCAGCGTTACATCGAAAGTAGCATCAACTGAGTCCATTACTAATGTGTGTGAACAAGAAAGAGGTGCTCTATAAGTGCAAAAGAAATAAAATTATTAGAAATATTAGAGTAATTGAAAGCTTCAAATAGTACGCACTTAAATACTAAACCATCAAAGGTTTTTATATTTATTCCACCCCATGTAGTACAAATGGCTGGTTTAGGCGCTCTGTCTATTACAACATTCACATCTCCAGTAGTATATAAAGAATAGCTGCTGGACGACACTAAATTTTCTTCTGATGACCACCACTCCTGAAAGTCATAATGAATTTATATTGACTAAAAAAATACATTTTTTAACTTACACTGCGAGAGTCGTATTCCTTAAATTTTGCTAAAATGGCCAAAATGCGTTCTCGTTCAGTTAAATATGTGTAACCTCCACTTCCACCGCCTCCACTTACAGTCTTACCAGTGTGCATTACTAAGTGGGAGGATGTCTTTCCCTTATTTATCGTGTATCCAGGTGCTAAAAAGTTATTATTGCTTTCAATATATTTATATCGTTTAGTTTTTAGTGCAACTTACGGTATATGCACTTGGGTATTGGAGTTGGATAAAACGCTCCTACCTCATATTTGCATTTGTATTCGATATTCAAATTGCCCTGAACTTTTAACCCCGGCACCTTTGGACAATTAAACATGCACTTCGCTTCTTTACTGTCGTAAGAGCATTTATATTCGCCATTAAAATTCGTCTTATTGACACTGCATTCATTAATACCTTCAAATTAATTTTAATTTAATTGGATGGCTTTAATACATAGAATATATATTTACTGAATTGGCAGTGATCACCACGGTACATTTTGGAGCATTGACAGACATTGGCTGATATACATTGACCACCATTAGCACAGGCAGGCGTACAAGAGGCTAAAATATATTTTCATCATAATTTCAGATTTATAAATTGTTCATCACAAAGAAAATTACAACTTACGTTTACAATCTGGCGGCTTAGTTAATCCCGATTTTGTATGAATCCATTGATTTCCCTGACATTCAATTTTTGTATCGGTACTACCATCCGGAAATTGAAAACCACGCAGACACTCAGCATTACAAACACTGTAACCAGGATATGATAATTAACAATATATACTTCAAATAGAGTAATAATTTATGTCGTTTTACTTGTTGCTGCAGCTGACTTTAGAGTTACTTGGTATTGGTGGTTTACCATAACAAACGGATTTTTTGGTCTGACAAAAAGGTCCCATAAAATTTTCTGAACATTTACACACACCGGCCGATATACAAATTCCATTGTTTTGACATGGAGGTACGCAAACAGCTTCAAAGAGATGTTACAGATATTATAAGGCAGAAAACAATAAGGTTTATTTTTTTTGAATCCTACCTTGACATGATGGTACTGTAGTAAATTTAGAATCGCGTATAATCCATGAGCCACCAATACAGTTGATTTTTAATAACTTTGTACCATCAGGAAAAGTGTAAGCATTTGGACATGTTACCTGACATTGGTTCCCATGACATTCAGAATGAACGTTGGACGGAAGTGGTATTGCGACACAGGCGCCAAAATTAGGCAACATTTGCCTCACATTCATAGAATAAGGAATTTGCTTCACAGCTCCGAATGGCTGACCGTAACTGTAAAGAAAAAAATTTTGAAAGTTATCATAACTGCTATCTATCTATCTATTACTTTACTCAATTTTATATACATATACATATTGTAAATTAATATATTCCAACATATTTTTAAAAAAGCAAATTTCTTTCCAAACGCTGCTGCTGGAGGTGCGTGTACTCCTTCAAGTTAATTGTTCCACCATAAGTCGGTTCTTCACTTACGTCCTCTTCCTTTAACTGCTTTTACAAACAAGTTTTTTACTGAAGTACAGTCATCCATTTTCACGACATGATCAAGCCAATAAAACTTTTAGATATTAATTGGCTACATTATGTCCATATCAAGATCAAGCTCGTACAGCTGGTACGTGATTTGATTGCGGTAGTCATTGCCAGCTCATAGAATTGATACTGCTCACAGTACTGCTTTATTATTCTATTATAATGTCTATGCTTCTGCGACATACAGAAGCATAGGTAGGTTGAGCAAACATTAGGACATTCTTTCGGGTCGCCAGTACCAACTGATTCCATAGTAAGCAATTCCTATTGGCAGTAATAATTCTTCGTCTGATCTTCAAGCTAACATCGTTGTTATTTCTTTATAGCGTTTATTAAATAAATAAAGTCTTTGGCTGATTCAAAAGTATAGTCGGCAACCAGTAGCCTGTCGTACATTTCTGTTAGTTCCTGATATTTTGCTCTCATCCAACACTATGCCTATAAACGCAAATTCGTTTTCGATAGTAACAAAGAAAGCAATAACATCTCAGTCTGACGTCCAATAATGCCGTTGTCATCAGCTTAGGAACTGGACATATTTGTAAAATACTGCGCCATTGCAATGATGCACCTGTGCTGCAGCTGTTGATTTTTATTACAAAATTGAAAAAATCAGATAATTTGAAATCTCCTTGTCTGACGCCTCCCACAATTTCAAATATTCTAAAGAGACTCAATCCAACCTTAATGGATCTACGGGTATTACTTAAAGTCTGTAGAGTCGTATTATGCATTTATCGAAAGTCGATTATGCAGTTAATCGACTAAAAGATGGTTGACTTAGTGTCAATGATAAATCCAAATATTTGCTTGTATAAATAAGAAAGACACCAGACTACACCCTGGAAACAAACAAGCAAACGAAATAGAATGGATGCAATTTTTGTTTTTTAGAACGCACAAAAGAAAATCACGATTGATTACCTCAAAGAAGGAACAAAGTGACAGGAATATTAGTCATGTTTGAAAATAAAATTAATAAAGAAAGACAAAATTGATCGAAATATATTTAATGACGTACACCACCACTTCCACATTCACCGACTGTAATAGATTTACTCCAACGCGATAGTTATCTATTTACAAATTTAAAAACAATGGCTTTTGGGGAAAAAAATTTCATCGAATTCTCTCATAATGCCGAATTATTCAGTCAGTTGTAATAAACATCTGACATATTAGCTTTTATCGAAGAGCGAATATAAAGATACTATAGAATATATATAAAGATACTTCACATTTAAAATCATACCTGGAATGATAACTGCTTTGAATACTATAACCGCTTGGATTACTTCCTCCATAGCCACCAATGGATGTTTTTATACTGTAACCGTAAATATTTGAAAAAAATTCATTAAAAATAATTTAAAACTTACCCAGGAGTTCCATAACCAGTACTGACACTATATCTAAAAAGTAAACAAGTTTTTAAATTAACATAATTATTATAGTAATTAATTGTTTTTAGACAATTTTACAATAATTTTTTTTAGTTTACTATAATAACTTAATAAATTTTAATTTATTTAGCACACAAAAACGTAAAAAAAATACACATAAATTTGTGTTAAATATTGTTAATTATTTTTCATTATTTTTTTTTATTTTTATGTATTAACTACACGACCTAAGCCCTTATATAAACTTATAAATATTATTGCTAAGTTTAAAATTTCTTTAACATAAACTATTAAAAATAAATTGTTTAAAAATTTTCGAAACCTACCCAGGATTTCCATAACCACTGCTGCCACTGTATTTAAAAAGTAATTAAAATTAAAAATTAATATAATTATTATTTTATTTTTTAACTTCTTTTAAAGAATTTATACAATTTATTAATGTTAAACAATGTCAATAATTTATAATAAATACAAGAAAAAAATAAGAAAAGTTAAATAATATATAATTAGTTAAAGTTACAATATAATTATAATATTAATTATTATAACATAATTAATATATTAATATAATAATATAATATTATAATATTATAATAATAGTAATTAGTTATACAATATTATATAAAATGAAATCAAGTTTAAATATAATGAATATAGTATTTTCATTAATTATTTTAAATAATTTCTATTTAATAAGAGTTTAATTAAAACTGCACAATACTTCGTCAAATAAAATTAAAATAAAATTGATTTGAATAAACTTAGTTTCAAATTTAATTAATCAAACAATATTTTTCTTAATTATTATAAATAATTATTATTAATCAGAGTGGAATAAAATTGCACAATATTATGTAAAACACAATAAAAATAAAATTAAAATAAATAAATGTAGTTTCAGTAAATCAAATTAAATTAAAATTATTTAAATATAAATATGATGAAAATACAATTTTAAACAAAAAATGATTAAATAATAAATATATATAAAAACAAATTTAAATTTTATTTAATTAAATTTTTTGTCTCTTTCGGATATTGCTACATACCCATTACTAATGGTTTTAAAAAAACATATATTTGAATTTAATTGTTCCTATATAATTTTTAATTTTTTTTGTTTTTATATAATTTAAATTTTTTTTTAATTCGTATATAATTTAATTAATTAATAATTTAAAAAAAATCTTTTCATTCAGGAAAATGTTTTTTTGTTTAGTTTAATGAATTTGCTGACTTAGAAAGTCAAGTTTTTAAAACTCAAAATCCAAAATTTTTTACAACTTTTATACAACAAATTTTATCTTTAAACTATTAATTCAGAAGTTAAAATTTTTTATTTTAAAAAAATTTTATTAATTAAGTATAATTTAAATTAAGTAAATACATACCCATAATTTCTATTGCCGGAAGCTTTTATGTCGACAGTACTGAAAAATTTAAATAATGTTTTAGTAGTTATATCTTTATTAAAATCACACACTCACACCAATTCTAAACTTTGATTACATGTTAAATTTATATGGAATAATTTTTATAAGCAAATTTTAATCTGTTTATTTAATTCATAATTTTCTTATCAGTTTAAGTTTCATTTATACTTTTAATAATTAATCATTTTCTTACCTCACAACCGGAACGACAACTACTTCTTTGCTTTTACCAAATCCGAAAATGCTACGTTCATTTCGCTCGTTATCTACAGTTTCCTCTGCAGCTGCCGGATTTAGAGGACTTAAAATATAAATAAATATATTTGATATTAATATTCCATAAATAAAATAAAATTTTAAATGAAATCTTAAAAATTTATTTAGTTTTTATTAAAGCGAATTATACGCAATTTTCGAAAGGAAATATTAATTAAAAGTTTCAGAAATATTTTAAAACTCTGAAAGTAAATAAATTTATGTTATATTATATTACAAATTTATATTATATCTAACTCTAATTACATTTTTTTAAAGTTAAAATAACAATACTAAATAATTATCTAAGGATTAATTTATTTCTTTACGATTTCACGTTTATTCTTCATATAAATAGAATAAAATCGTTTCGAAAAGAAGCGAACTACAACAACAAAAATTCTTTTTTATATTATTTTATATTGTAATTAAAATTTTGTTACAATAATTATTAAAATATATTTTCCAAAAGTCGTTAAAAATAAACATTAAATTTTTTTCAAGAAATCTTGCCTGCCTTAAAGATCATTTAGTGTCCCTCTATAAGTAACTCCCCGATTATGATAGACCCCTTCATTATAACACACTAAATTTATCAATGAAATAAAAAAAAACTTCATTATTTTACTATTAACATTTATTATTTGGTTTTACTAATTGTTTAAAAATGTGCTAAAAAGCGCCAAAGGTAACAGAGATCCAGGAACGGACAAAGTTCGAAACAAATCTTCAAAATATGCTACAGATACTTTTTTAGTTAGGCTACCTAATACTTTTAATCCTTAACTCGACAGATATAAATGAAAGTTCCACAACAACCACTCTTTTTTCTGTACATAAGATTTATTGGTTACTTATCTCATCTCAGCAACTATCATGAAATCTTCTTTGTGAACCGTGAGACTGAATGAATAATAAGCGTATTATTGTTTCCAAAAATTAAAGGATTAAAGACTTAAGAGTATCCAGCTGGCTTCCAAAAATGCTTTTAATGTGAGAAAAAAGCTATGTATTTTATATGAATTTTAAATGCTGTTATATAGAAACTTATAAGAACTATCTCCAAAGAACTATCCTGAAAATTGGTTAGTTATTAAAACTACCATAGAGTAAGACAAAATAAGCAGTTTGCAAAGGAGTAGAAATCTCTGATTATTTTGAAACATTTTGGTAACAAGGTTATATAATGTCTTCACTAATATCAGTACTGTTCAAAATTGATATGAATAATTTTATGTCATCAAATATATATAGCGATCTCAATTTTATTGAAGAAATAGCATATATAGTATAACTCGATGGAAAGTTGTAGATTTTCAAAGTCTGATGTGACCTGGTAGAACTGAACACAATTAACCTTGTTACAACTCAAATGAAATTGTATTCGTTGTATAAAAATAATGATTATGAAAGTATGCAATAAACCTAAACTCAATTTAATATTCTAAATTGCTTAGCTTTGATGAAGAGATTAAAATAAGCTAACAAGACCGAAAGATATACTTTCTGAAACAGAAATACTACAAGTTACAGAGAGGGGATGTTTTACTATTTATGTTATTATTCTGTTTATTATGTTGAAGCTGTTTTGAGCTAAACACTTATAATCTTTCTTAACTTGAGGTATTTTCAAAACCCCTCTTTACATCTTGACTAGATTATTGTTTATCACTTCATCAGGCTAAGCAATAATTGACCTCAGATCTGCATACCTCCCCGAGGAGCCTGTAACCATTTTGAGATTTGATAACGCGGTGTTGGTAAGTCTGTCAGTTTTCGCAAATAATTTCAGGGCTCTATCCTTTATGTATTTTTTAAGAGATCAATCTTGATGTCCATGAGGACATCATTCGTCCTAATGCACCATAGTACTTTGAAAAGTCTTCTCAGAGCCTGGCTTTGTACAATTTCTAGCTGGTGAATAGTAGTGTTTGAAGCTAAATTAAAATATATAATATAATTTAAGACTATTTACAACTCGGTACCGATAACGATAGTAAGTGTGTCAAGATTGTATTGTTCTTCAACTTCAAATTCAATAGACTAAAATGAGAAGGATTAAAACTTACTAAGCAGAATAGTAAATACCCTCTACGCGATATTCTTTACAAATTTTATACATTTATTATTATACATTTATTAATATATACTTCTTTCAATCTATTGTTAATCTATTCAACGTTTTATTAATTATAATACTTAGACACTGATAGATATACAAACGGACGGATGTTGCTGAATCTATTTGTTTTCACACTGATCAATAGAGTATAAGATTTATGAATAAAAGGTAAAGTCTTGTAATAATGTTATTGATGAAAGATCTAATAATTTTCGGCACCTTTATTAGACCTTTATCTGTATAAGTCATGGGTGTTCATTGATTTTTCAATAAAATTCAAATAAATTAATTATCATAATTATTATTATTAATATATTATTGTATAATATAATTAATTATTATTATAATAACATTGCACATTGAAAATTATATGTATATAATATAAACGCGGTATAATTATATATAATAAACACGGTATAACCAAATAATTGTGAGATTTTTATTTTTTTTTTAATTATTTTACAATTCATAATTATAGAGTTGTTTTATTATATTTCTGTAAAGTTTTTAAAAATTATTAATTCAACTTATATGAATTTATTTAATTGGATCTATATATTAGGTTGTTCGGGAAGTGATTTCGTTTTTTCCGAAACCGATATTTACCAATCGGTTTGGTGGGATTTTAAAGGATTCATTTTTTTGAGCTTTTATCAGATAACACAACGATTAACTTGGAAGTTTGCTTTAATCAGCTAGACAAACTGAATGATGTACTTCAACAGAAAAGGCCAGAACTAATCAACAAAAAAACGAAATTACTTTCCGAACCACCTAATAATTTGTTGACTGCAAATATCGGGAGTAGTACCCTTAGAGTATATAAATAACCAGCAGTATTTCTAAAAACTATTGATAAAGTGTTATTAGCAGTATTCCAAACAACTGTATGTATGATCAGTCCATGAAATTAGTTAATTAAGCTTTATTTTTTATTCTTCAAAATTTTTTCACTATAAAGTACTTCTCATGTCATTTACACATAGGTATATTACACTTTGATCTTAGCCATAAGGGCGAGAAGCGATTAACATATCATTTACACATTTAAGATATAATAAAAATTTATATCTTCAAATTAAAATTCATATTAAAAGTATTTATTTTGTAATCAAATAATCTTTAAAATATTTTTTATTTTGAGTATACACACTTTTAATTTCTTTTAATCTTTTCTATAAAAAAATAAATAAGTTAAATTTTTAAGTATAGAAAAAAAACTAATATATATTAATATATATATGTATATATATTGAATAATATATTGAAAAATTCGTGATTAAATTTCGATAATAAAAATTTTAAATAACTGTTGTTTTTTTTTCAGTAAATTAAATCAAATAGATTTTAAAATTATTTTGAATATTTTTAGGGACTTGTCACAATAATTTAAAATTTAAATTATGTTTTAAAATATTTTATCAATATATTATTTTATTTTATTTCATATCACTTTGCTATTATTATTTCAAATAAAAATTTGAATGAATATTTTATATATAATTTTTAATGTTTTAGTCATAAATCACAATTTATATAAATATGTAAATGTATAAATTTTTATACATTTTTATATGCACGATATATTTTTTATTAAATAATTATTAACATTATTTTTAATTTGATATAAAAATTATTTTAATTTCAATGCTAAATTATTTTGTTTTCCTAGCATTTAGTTTCCGGTATATTTTAAGATAAGAATTTATTTATTTTTTTTTTTTTCAAGATTTAAGATTTCTTTCACTTTACAGGCAATAGATATTTTTTAGCTTATATATTAAATGTAGAACATATCACTACACAAAACCTTTATTCCATAATTTTTGTTTTGAAAACATGACATTATTTTTTTTTTACTGTACTTATTTTTTATATGCTCAAACATATAATCACTTTCAAAAAATTTGATCTTTATTTTATTTTTAGTGTATATATATACTTTTTAATTTATTTAACATTTCACTAATATATTTCCTTCTTCTCTGACAAGCTAATTTATTTTCTTATATTGATAAGAGATATATATTAAATATTTTTTTCTTACTCTGTATCTCCACTATCACCAACATCAGCATTAATATAACCGATTAATACCAATAAGAATATAAATTTTACTTTTCGCATTTTAACGATTATCCTTGCAAATAATTCACCAAAAATAAATTCTATTTTCAAATCACTTTAAATAACACATTATCCTTTCATATATGCTTATGTAAATATCTTTTAGTAAATATCCTTTGGCAAATATCCTTTAGCAAGTATCCTTTGGGTTATCCAAATAAGTTAATCCTTTTGTAGACAGTGCATATACAAACTCTTCACTACACTATATCACAATCGATTCCCAATTTATGAAGAACTTACAATAATCCGTTAAAGACGCGAACGCAACTATTTGAAATCTCAAAGAGTTCATGCTTTTATAGGCATAAATATCTAGTATTTGGCCTTGAAAATTAAACTAAAAACTGCGATATCGCTTATCGCCAATACGCCTAATTTCTTAAAACCATTTGAAATCTTTGGACTAACGTTGAGTGCCAAGTACCAGAGTTGCCATTCTAAATTATTCTAGATGCATGCATTGGACCTCTATTCTCAATTTTCGCAAAATAAATCTTCTTATCAACTTCCTTTAGTTTGCAAAGGTTTGTGGTCACAGCTTTTATTTATTATTAATTTTTTTTTTTTTGTTTAAAAAGTCAAATGTATACATATATAATTGAATATTTTATTCGTAGTATATTTCTAAGTGGAAGAATTTGTTGAATGTATCTCAGATAAAATATTGCAAATACTAGCAAAATTTTGTGATAAAACATTAATTGCGCGTGGCTAAAGTATGTCAAGTTAACAAAGAAATATTTTTGTATAATTTAAATCTGCTAATTATTATTATTTATAACTTAAAATAAACAAACAAAAGAAGTTATAAAAAAATGCATCCATTTCATTATCGTTTACTACTATATTAAGTTAAATTATTTTAATTCATTTATATCCAAATGAAATCTTACTTAAAATACAGCAGTTTGTTTTACATATTTTTAGATTTTAATTAATTCAATTTTATATATGTACATTTTGAATATATTTTTTTTTATTCAACGTCGAAATATTAAAAATTAAAAAAGAAATAAACCTTAATAAAATTAGAAATTTATTTTATTTTTAAATTTAAAAATATCACGTGGCGTCAAAGATCACAATTTCTAAACGTATAGAAGTCTATTTAATTTCTAGCTCCATAAGTGTATAGTATCATTTCGATATATAACTAACATATACTATATAATATTTATACTTATTGACATGCGAAAGAAATTTGTTGCTTCTTCAATCAGCGTTTGACTGAATATCCCAAAAACACCTTAAGTAATACACAATAAATTGAAAGGCTGTTAAAATCTGATATTCACCATTCAAGTTCAGTATCCTATTTACAGTAGCTTACTAAAATATTATCTCCTACAATTTTACGGCC